AAGTCCTTGTACTGCAAACATGCTTGCATGTGTGGGCTCCTTGTTAAATAGCTCAATAGGAACCAGCAAGGGGCAATAATGTTGAGTTATTCTTTTCCAGGATTACAGGTCAGGATGCCTATTACAAGAGCTTCATCAGAAATACCTGGCTTGAAGTGACTAAAACATTAGACAAGCTAACTGCATATATTTATATATTTAAATGCACATTTAGTATAATTACCAAAATACTTACCTCTGCCCAAATATGGTTTTGTATAGTCCCAACTACAATTGTCATTTCGAATGACATTAAGTCGAGTTGACTGTTAAAATATAAACAAACAGCAAGTCTTAATCATTGCTTTCCTCCCAAAACAGTTTAGCCGCTGAAGAAAGTATGATCATTACCTTTGCATATTCTATTTTTAGAGTACAACATCCTGCATATATATCTGCTCCGTTGAGTGCTGCTTTTGCCTTCTGAGCACAGAGAACCGATTTGAACTTGATTAATGTTAAGGATTGTTGTTTAAAACAATGCCTCCACCCCCCTCAAAAATAGCCACAAGTCATGCTAATTTAGACCACAACACAGTAGATCTCCTAGAAATTACTCAAGGGCTCTTTATTTAACATGCGGTTACAAATGTAAAAACACCAATTTTATGTATGAATGAGTGACTAATACCATAGTCAGAATGGCCAGTGATGAGGCATGACTGGAGCAATACTCAAACACTATCTAGAGAACCACAAGCTCCCCATCCCCAATTTAGGTACTGCTCTCAGCATGGGAAAGAATTCTACTCATGAGGTAGAAACGAATGGGATGGCTCCTAGTGATAAATGGCAAGAAACACAGGATAGCCATTCAAAATGCTTTCCACAGCTGGAAAGAACAGCTGACAACAGGTGTAACTCGGATGCTCCCTCTGGCCTGCAGGAGCTACCATGTTGCTATATAAACAGCGGCTGTGAAACAGGAAGTAGGCCAGAGGCTGGATGTTGTGCAGAGATGAGTTCAGTGATTCCCTAGCACAGAGTTGCTTGTTTGCATTCTTCTCCTCTCTCTCCCCCCCTGCCCTACTACCCCATCAAGAGATAGTAAAAACTCCCTTGCTTTATCCCTCTCCCTTCTCTTTCCTGCCAGGAATCCTGCCTGCAACCAGCAACTCCCCACACCTTGCGGCATCCTTGTTTTTGGATCTGTTTGGTTGCTTTTAAAAAAAAAAAAGAATGGTTCTGATCTGTTTAAAATATATTAAATCTACTAATTGTGTATTTAATTATATATACAGGCAACTTTCAATTTGTGCATGTTCAAGGCATGTGTGACTGACTGCACATGCAATGTTTGACACCAGAAGAGGAAAAAATGGCGGCAGGGTGAGGGTAAGGCAAGCTTACGAGAGCGATGACCCTGAACATAACCCTCGTGCAAATGGGGGGCTGCCTGTGTTTAATTAAATATATTAATTGTGCATATTAAATAATATTTATTGCAAACTCTAATATATGATATGGAAATTTAAATCACTGTGTGGTCCCCAGGTTCTGTGTCAATGTACTCTTGTGGCCCACTTGGTCTGAGAGTTAGACTGCCCTGCCCTAGAACATAATCTACACACACAGACACAAAGTGATACAAAAAGGATATTCAACCAGGGCTTGTATTGCGTTCTTCTTGAATATGACAATACGTTTTACTTTCCCCACAGGGTTGCACACTGTATACAAAACATCCTACAGAAGAATGAGGGAAATAGTCAGAGATTTGAAGATTTACCTGACAAATACTATTCAAAATTTTATTAGGACACACAAACAAAATAACCCCCATTTAAAGTTTGGATTTAGTTTCTGAGAGAAAGTCTCTTGTGTACTATGTAGTTATGTAATGATGAGAGAAAAGGGGACAAACATTCTAAAGTTTATCCATGAAACAAGGCAATTCAAAGCAGTTAGCCTAAATTCCGTTTTATCTCTATGCAGTCAGATATCTAATAAGGCTGCCAAAATTTTAGTGCTCTTAAACAAATTTTAACTTGTCTTATACCATTTATAAATTGGGAATACACAGAATCAAAATAATAATTTCAAAAACCTCAAAGTATGCAAGAAAAATGAAAGAAGACGACTCACTCAAATGCACTTGCTAAAACCCAAGGTCTTAAAACACAAGGATTTTACCTTATGTAGCTAGTAGGATGCACTAAGGTTAGGTAAAGTTATGCTTAAGAGTAAGACGTACCACTGTAATTGGATATAGAGGGTTCTGAATTGATAAGAGAAGAACTTTGTTCCCACCAGAGACACTGTTTGTGTTTTCCGGACGAGTAATTCTTTTGCTTGTAGAGTAATTGAAAAATGCTTGTTGCCCAGCTATATATAACGGTTCACTTAATGCAAATGTCACACATTTTTTGGCACTTTCAATATCCTCAAATTCTACCAAAGCCTGGCGTTTAAATGATATCATCATCACATAACTGCAGGAAAAACAATAAAACCATTAATGAGCTCTAATTATTTAAGGCCATCAATTGTAAATCATAAGTGAAATTTGATCTTAAAAGACTTTACACTAAAAATTCTTATTGTAAACTCAAAAAAAATCTACTACCTTTCTTAAAGTCAATGGAACATTTGTTGCAATCTACAGCAAATGTGTCTATGTAACCAAGGGCTTAGTTTGGAGCAAAGAGTGACATCAGTCATACCTCATCTTTCAACTGTAAAGCAAAATGCAAAGTTCTGAGGATAAAATTATGAATATCTAATGTAGAAAAACAGAACCAAGGTGCTCTCTTACCCAGCTTCCATATGTAGACAAGCAGAACGATCTGCCTCAAAATTAACTTTTGAAGGATTTGGTACTTCCAATGCTTCAATCAGGGGCAGATATACTATGAAGCTAATGAGGCTTAAGTTTCAGTGTCCCTGTTCTCGAAAGAGCCTCAAAAGTGACCTTAGTCCACATAATTTTTAAAAATGGGTCTAGTAGACCTAATTTTAAGTTGCACAACTTAAATTGATTAATTTTTGTTGAATATTATTTCAACAATCCCGAAGCTCGAGAGTCGGTAGCACAGATGATGTAGTGCTGTGATGTTCTGTCGCAGAACAACACATTTGAATAAAATAACAGTTGTTGCCCAGATTCCATTGCTGATTGTGAAGGGGCCCCCATAACCGTCAAGCTTCAGGACTCCCAAAATGTAGGTCCACCACTGGCTTCAGTTTAGGAGTACCAGTACAAGCCTTGAAGAGGTATTTTAAAAATACAAAGCTTGTTGTGAGTCACCCAAGATCTAATATATGGTAAACATACCATATGGTTCCAAATTTTTCAAGCGCCTCCACAACATCCGCCTCCACAACTGATTCACAGAGCCCTCGGACATGGACCACAGGAGAAACAGGAACTTTGTGAAAACTTCCACCAGCATTCTAGGAAATGAAAGTGATAGACTTTATTTTTCAGATCTAAATCTATCAAAAACAATATTATAGATGATTAACTGACAAAGTAATTTGAAGGCCCCTTTTGAAAGGGGAATGAAATATGAAGTTATATATACAACACAATTCAGAGTTGTTAGAACGAACTGCCTTCAGAAAAGTGAAGAATGGAGGAAAACACCTTCCTCTTCCCATTGTTTTATTAGCGGAAACCAAGAGAAATTTTGCCTCCTGCACAATAAATCCTTTGATGTGTAAAAGCGGACCTACGTATCCACAGTCGGCTGGTGGCAAAGCCAGGTGCATCTGACAAAGTGGTCTCACCGGCTCACTTAAATCTTCATCCACAAGTGCAGGGGACTTGGGCTAGATGATCCTCGTGGTCCCTTCCAACTCTACAATTCCATGATTTTCTTTGTTGTTGTTTATAGTCGTTTAGTTGTGTCTGACTCTTTGTGACCCCATGGACCAGAGCACACCAGGCACTCCTGTCTTCCACTGCCTCCCGCAGTTTGGTCAAACTCATGTTGGCAGCCTCGAGAACACTGTCAAACCATCTTATCCTCTGTCGTCCCTTTCTCCTTGTGCCCTCAATCTTTCCCAACATCAGGGTCTATTCCAGGGAGTCTTCTGCACTCAGGGCCGATTTCCTTAAGAATGGATAGGTTTGATCTTCTTGCAGTCCATGGGACTCTCAAGAGTCTCCTCCAGCACCATAATTCAAAAGCATCAATTCTTCGGCGATCAGCCTTCTTTATGGTCCAGCTCTCACTTCCATACATCATTACTGGGAAAACCATAGCTTTAACTATACGGACCTTTGTTGGCAAGGTGATGTCTCTGCTTTTTAAGATGCTGTCTAAGTTTGTCATTGCTTTTCTTCCAGGAAGCAGGCGTCTTTTAATTTCGTGACTGCTGTGATCACGGAGCCCAAGAAAGTAAAATCTCTCACTGATTTTCTTTACATACATGTAAATAAAAAACCTGTCACACCTTAAGATGCTGTTTCCCGTTACAGACTAATCTTTCTGAAACATGCTCAGCCCTCTTCCCACATGCACGCTTACTATTATTGTTATTACTGTATTATTGTGAGTGTTCATTAATTTTCTACACCGCCTGTCACCCGAGGACCACAGGGCGGTTTACAATATAAAAACAGGTAGATGCGTGACATGCCTAACGAACAAAACTTTGTGGAAATACTAGGATTCAACTTGTGTATTGAGAAGGATGGGGAGAAACGGAAGCGTTAACGCCCCGATGCTACTACACACGCCGACCTGGCAGTTGGCGCACCTGGCAACGGGCTGCTGTTGCGCGTCTTCTCTACCCGCCGTTCACTCCCGGCGAACACTGCGAAGGGCGAGGATTATAAGAGGCAGGCCCTCCTTACCCCTCCAGAGCAGTCCCCGGTGCGAGGGGCGGCCTCCTGGCGGCTCTCGCCCTCCGCAGCGGCGGCGGCGGCGGCGGCGGCGCTGGGCTTCAGCCGCTTGGTCTGGCTCTCGTAGGCGCCGTCCTCCTCCTCCTCCTCCTGCCCAAAAGACGGCGCAGACATGGCGGCGGCGGCCCAGCGAAGTGCAGGTGAGGAGGATACTGGACACTCGGGGCTCCTCAACCGGCGCGCGAACCGGGAGTCAGGCGAAGAGACCGACGAGGATGCTCTGGACCAGTTCACCTCACAGAAGACGGCCGCGAAGGATCGGGAAGTAGAGCGCAGGCCCTTGTCCTGCGATTGGAGCTAACTTTGTGTGGAAAGCTCCGTGATTGGCTAACGGAGAAGCTTCTCAGAAGTTCAGGGACACGCGGCTGGGCAAATGGGACGCCCGTCACCGCTAGATAAACCCTCCGCTCCTCCCCGCCTTCTATTGCTCTCTCGTCCCCGCCTCCCCTTCCAGAGCCTGCCGCTAGAGCCGTTTATTGTTTATTATTCGACGGAAGAGGAAAGACGCGCGCGCGCGACCTCGCCGTTACCAAGGCCAACGGTCGCCAGCGCGCGCTGAGGGGAGGGGAGGTTTTGTGTATCAGTGCAGGGTGGCAAAGGGCGTTCTCGCCAAAGCGGCTTGGTAGAAGACAACGATAAAGGCGAATCCCTCTGGCTGATTGATTGATTTAAATAGATCACTTTGGCTTTTTAATTTGTTTAAATAAATGTAATTTATTTTTGGAAGAGGATTGAGAAAGGTCCGTTGGAATGTCACCCCCGGGATGGACCTTTAACCAGTGGACGTACAGTAACCCAAGCCTAGTTCTGCTCAAATAATTTATTCTATTCTATCGAAGTAAATGGGGAAAAACCTACCCTCAGCGATGGCCAGTGTATTCTCCCACAAAAGGAAAAGTCTACTGTTTGGTGTGCAAACTTTTCTCTAGCCAAACGACCTCAATAACAACTTCAGATGCTACTGGATTCAGCGTTTGGCATCGTGCTTACCTTGTTCAAATGCACAGAAACTCATAAAAACTATAGCAGCTCTACGCTAACATATTTAACAAGAAAGCATGCTCAAACACTCACATCCAAACACGAAGAGCAAATTAAAGCAGAGCAGGATTATTAGAGAGCTTTTGCAGTGATTTCCCTTCTGGCAGAAAGTTGATTGGCATTTAGGGGAGATGATGAAACATTTGTTTCACCAAACAATGGTACAGTAGCTTTCTTGTATTGCTTGAATTAATTGCCAAATTTGATCCTTTCCTGTGTGCTCATGAAGGAATGGGTTTCCCAAACCCAAAACTGACTGTGCAGGCATTTTTAAACTGCACCAAAATCCCCATTTCTCCTTAGCTAAAATGCATAAACATTAGCCGTTGAGCAAATGCAAAACAAGAACACAGCTCTCTCCCTTATCAGTTTGACGGCAAGACTGGCCTTGACTTTACCAGTAGAACAGACACAGACATATCTTATGTTCTGACCACAAATGATGGGGAGACCCAAGTCTGGGACTAACACCAGAGCATGTTCTCGGAAGTAGTGACCTTTTGCTCCAAGATAGCAGTAGGAACAGGAATATCCTTTTATGGTCAGGAGTGCAGGAAGGAAATCCCTTTTATGGTTGAGAGTACCAGAGCAGGAACATATGTGATGTCAACCTGCATACATAGGCTGACGTGGTTGGAAGGAGAGAGAGGGTGCCTGGAGGATATAAATACTGCATGAAACTTGTCATTTCTTTGGACTTGCTGTGGACTAATCACGCAAGTGCCTTCTGCTATCCGGAGAGCAGAATAAACTCTTTCTTTGAACCAACTCGGTGTCATTTTGACTTCCTTCCTCCTGTCCCAGAGCAACGCAGACCCAATCAGTGAACTCCAATAAGGCTACATTTCTTGGTGCATTGGCCGGGAATCCGTGTTCTCCGAGGACAGGACGAAGGACCGAGACGTCACTGCTAAGCGAACAGCTGGGTCGGTGTTGGTGGCTCCAAGCGCGCACCCTGCCATTTCTAGGGGGAGCCCCCACGCTGTACCTGAGTGGAGACGCAGCAGAGACGGAAGAAAGACAGACAGCAGCTGCACGGGAGAAGGGTACCCAGGGGAAAGGTAGGCTCCACAGCTTGTTTTGTGGGAGTCAGGGGTTTGATCAGCCCCGCCCAGTAGGAGCAGTAGGGTGCCGCTGGGTTTAGCCAGTAGAGAACAGTAGTGTGCCACTGGTTTGCCAGTAGAAGAGCAGTAAAAGTGCCACCGGCTTTGGGAAGTTTATGGGTAAAGGGAATTGGGGAGGTGCAGGGGGTTTGTATGTGTATGGGGGTTTGTATGTATGTGTATTTATTTGTGTATGGGGACACTCCAGTGAATGTTTTGAGTGGATGAGACGTTGGGGCTCAGAGCCACTGGCGAAGCGAAGTGTGGTCCTTGTAAGGTGCGGTTCCTAGCGACGCGAGTCCGTCTAGGCCACTGACAGGAGCGGAGAAAGGTGACTGAGTGGGAAACAACGTTAGGTGGACGGAGTGTCCCAGAGGTTATGGGAAAGAAAAGAAAAAAAGAAAAAGTAAACTAACCCCCTTGCAGTGTTTGTTCTTTTTGGACAATTGGAAATGTCAAGCTACAGTTGAAAAAAACCCCTTTAAGCTCCTTTCTGTATTCTGGCAGTGACCAGCATAGGTGCGTCCAGTTGGCTTGTATTGTATTGCCAACACGTGGGGTCCGGGCGAAAAAAATATATGTGCTCTGCAGAGGCGCCAGGAATAGAACCCTGCATGAAGGGGTTCTCAATTCTGCCACATCTACTGTGCTGCATCTTAGGGGGTTGGGAAACAGACCTTAAAACACCTAGAATCTTGCAGAGTACGAGTATATATATATATATAAAAGGATTATTTGGTCTTTAACATTAAAAGTGACATGAGTTGCTAATGAGGTCAAATTTTATATTTTCATGATAAAGGTGGGAAGGTTTCAATTACTAATACAATCATGTACTGGTTTCAGAATTTGAATGTCATCAATTCACTGTGCTTTGAGCTACTTGGTATGTTAAGATGTTTTTGTTAATAAGATTGTTTCTTATTGACTCTGTTGCATAAGGTACCCTGGTGGATTTAGAAACCGCTTGTTAAATGTTGATCAAAAGTAAAAATGTACAAATGTATGGAAAAAGGTAGTGTTGTCAAAAGGGATGGGGTTTTAACCCCCCCCCCCATCCCACGTTCAGACAGATGAGAAGAGAAGTGAGAGGGTTACGGGGACAAAGCAGTAAATCACCCCCCTTGCAGTGTCTGTGTTTAACACAGAAACAAAGACGCTATGCAGCCCTTGGTGGAGTCTGGAAACCAGGTTAAAATGGGGCCAGAGAACACTCAGGAAAATTACAAATTACCAAATATTGCATAGCAGGCCAACCCCCCAGAGCAAGAGTACCTGTGTCATTTAAACATATGACCTCTTTTGTTATCATAGAGGTGGTTCTGTAAATTTGACACACCTTTACATCTTGCAGGTAGCAGCAAAAGGGAATTTGCAATACTTGCAGACCTGTGTTTTAAAACTTAAAGGGGTGTGCAAATAAGATTTTATTATAGATCTCAGCTCAGTTTAAAATAAGGATGAGCACACTATTTGATACCAAAATTGATTTTTGCACTACCTTTCTTCTGATATATTTTTGAAATGCGTATAATTTGTATTTGTAAAAGGGATGAACAATTGTATGCAGAAGGTGAAGTAGTGGTCTGGGCTGGAGAAGGTAGAGGGAAGTAGAAAAGAAGGTGAGAGTGTTTATGCTGATTAGTATTAATGAAATTAATATATTAAAATGCTATTATTGAGAGAGAGTTTACTAAATATAGTAAAAGCTGAATTGCATAAAGGCTGTGTGTGACCAGCGACACACTTAGTCAAAGTCTTGCATGTGCTGTTAAAATGCACTCAGATTATTGGTTGAGGTTTTCATGAGTAAAAATCAGCTTTTAATGAATTCTGAATTAATAATTAAGAATATATTATATTATGGACCAGCCCTCTTTTTGGCTGGCTGGACAGCTAACCATCCATAAATTAACAGCAAGAGTAGGGACCTGGAATAATAATAATAATAGTAGTAATAATAATAATAATAATAATAATAATAATAATAATAATTTATTATTTATACCCCGCCCATCTGGCTGGGCCTCCCCAGCCACTCTGGGCGGCTTCCATAGAAACCAAAAATACAGTAAAATATCACACGTTAAAAACTTCCCTGAACAGGGCTGCCTTAAGATGTCTTCTGAATGTCAGGTAGTTGTTTATCGCTTTGACATCTGCTGGAAGGGCGTTCCACAGGGTGGGCGCCACTACCGAGAAGGCCCTCTGCCTGGTTCCCTGTAGCTTTGCTTCTCGCAATGAGGGAACCGCCAGAAGGCCCTCGGCGCTGGACCTCAGCGTCCGGGCAGAATGATGGGGGTGGAGACGCTCCTTCAGGTATACTGGACCGAGGCCGTTTAGGGCTTTAAAGGTCAGCACCAACACTTTGAATTGTGCTCAGAAACGTACTGGGAGCCAATGTAGGTCTTTCAAGACCGGTGTTATATGGTCTCGGCGGCCGCCCCCAGTCACCAGTCTAGCTGCCGCATTCTGGATTAGTTGTAGTTTCCGAGTCACCTTCAAAGGTAGCCCCACGTAGAGTGCATTGCAGTAGTCCAAGCGGGAGATAACCAGAGCATGCACCACTCTGGCAAGACAGTCCGCAGGCAGATAGGGTCTCAGCCTACGTACCAGATGGAGCTGGTAAACAGCTGCCCTGGACACAGAATTGACCTGTGCCTCTATGGACAGCTGTGAGTCCAAAATGACTCCCAGGCTGCGCACCTGGTCCTTCAGGGGCACAGTTACCCCATTCAGGACCAGGAAATCCTCCACACCTGTCCGCCTCCTGTCCCCCAAAAACAGTACTTTTGTCTTGTCAGGATTCAACCCCAATCTGTTAGCCGGAATATTGTTTGTGCTCTTTTTAGTATGTCCCTCCCATGAAAGATACTCCTTGGATATCTATTAATTGAAAATTGAGATGGGCCTTTTTGATTTCTAAGTGTACATGCCAGGAGAGGTCTTAGGCAAAATAACTTTTATTTCCCTGTTCACATTAGGCTGTGAAAAGTGTCCAATGCTTTGAAATTTTCCTGTTCTGAGACACACATATACTCAGGGTAGTTGCCAGAATCAAAAGGTGTCAAATGCATTAGTAACAGCAGAATCAAGATGTTGATAGACAAAATACCCCAAT